TATGTTTAATAGTTTTTGAGCTATAACCATTTTTGTAAGTCCAGATACCCCTTTTTCAGATAAATTGGGGGTCCGTGGGGGGTCACTGATTGGTGGGCCTGATGGATAGAGCATCATCAGAGCTAAACAACAAAAGAAATCTTAAGCTTCTATGTTGAACAGTTTCTGAGTTATAAGCATTTTTGCATGTCCTGACACCCCCAGTTTGAAAGGAGCCCCCTCCTCAAATATGGGGCCTATCGTAAAACCATTGGCTGGTGCAGTGTAGGTCAGACTCATCTACATCTCTGCCAAATTTCATGTTGACCGGTGCAGCCGTTTTTGTGCTATGGTTGACCAAAAATCACTGAAAAAAAAATAAACAGTACGGAATCAATATGACTCCCGCTTACGCTTCGCGTGCGGGGTCATTATAAAACATGCAGGATAACGGCCCTCAAGGACCAAGATTGCCCATCCCTGTGCTATACCAACAAAAATATCTGCATCAAATAGAGAAGAAAAACGAAAACAGGCATACAAATGTTCCATACACCAGGAATCCCAAACCACTGAACTGGCTCATGAAACATTTGGTAATGGGCTACAAAGGAAGCAAACCCACCAGCTAATCCATCAAAAAATTATTAAGAACTTTGCTAGAAAATAGTCCAGACCCAATAAAGAAACAACAAAAATCTCAAAGCTGGCCAAAAAAAAAAAAGAAAGCACCAAAACTGTACATTTACACGCTCTAAGCTCACACCTTGGACAAAACCAGGAAACATTCAAAAGAGCCTCATCACACAGAGACCAGGCACTACATTACAAAAACAAACCTTGGAGTTTTACTGAAAGGAAAAAAAAAACTTTGAACAAGAAGAATAGAAGCAATTCTAAAAGGCCACCATTTCATCAAATGTGCTTCCTCTAAAGCAACTTTTTTTAGTGGCTAACCCCTATAACCCTTGAGATAAAAAGCCTTTCACTGAGTTGATCCTGCCTGCTGCATTCGAACAGTTTAAAGAAGTTCAAGTGAAAAAAGACAACCCAGGCTCTCCTTTTAGCCAGCACCATAAACATACAGACTGGTAAAACAGCAGAGTGAAGTATGACTGTTAGGAAAAACTATTCATTGAGGCACGCCATCCAGATTGATTAGTCAACACCTGTATCAGGACGTGCATGAAGACCTGCTGTGTGCAATGCTACACATGCAAATTTATTCAAGTCTCTGAATTATTACATGTCAAGAAATAAAGTGGTCATTTTGTGTTTGTGTGTGAACAACCAGAACAGCTGCCAGAACCAAACAACTTTTGAAAAGTTCTGCTATCTAAATGTGCTGGCAGATGCCCAGCTACACCACTCTTAAAACAAGAACTGAAAAACAGCATGCACACTGCAGGACTTCACTACTGGCTAACTCACCAGGTGCATTTCATCAGACAGACAGTTTATGGCACAGCGCCACCTTAAACCATAAAATATCAGTCAAGTCCAACAATTAATCTCCTTGCAAAAATCTTCAAAAGCTTAATAACAAGTTTGGAAAATCTCTTTGCAACAAACATAACAGAAACATGTTATATTTGGGTTAATGTCTCCTTTACACTGGTACATCTTACCTAAGATACATAAATAATGTTCCTCCAGGAGACAGAGATGCAATGTTAGCTTAGCTGAGAAAACATTTGCATTTGTGATAGATTATTTCAACCACTTAAAAGTCTTAACTCCCAGATATTTCTGGTTCTTAGACTCCTCTCTTGTGGAACCAATTTCCAGTTTCTGTCCATATGGCTGACACTGTCTAATTTTAAGACTGGAATTAAGACTTTAGTTTTTGATAAACATAGTTAGGGTTGGTTTTCTGAGGTATTCCTTAGTTCTACTCATCCTGAGTCTGGTTCTGCTGAAGGTTCCTTCCTGTTAAAAGGGAGTTTTCCTCCCCACTGTCACCATGTGCTGTCCTAAATGGGAAACTGTGATGGAGTGAAGATTTATCACAGTCTGCTGGCTTACTTAGATTGATTATTTTTTGTGCAGTGCCCTGAGAAAATGTTTCTTGTGACTTGGTGCTATATGAATAAACTGAATTGAATATGGATGTAAAATACTCTAAAGTTGTTTTTTAATCAAGAACGTAGGTACTGGAGGTACAACCTCCATTTTTTCTAATTAAGGATGTATAGTCTTTAAACATCAACACTAGGGGTGGGGCTTAAAGCTTCTCAGTTCATCCTGACTAGGAGACCACACTATATGACACCTAATGATTCAATTTTTTTTCACAAGGATTTCTTTTTGCAAGAGTCAGGTGTCAAAAAGGACTAATTTTCCCCAAGCTTTGCTTCATTATGCGTTGAGATATATTAGGAACACAGTTTAGGAAGATGCAGTTGTCTCCAGGTGTGTCCACCTAGTTGCAGGAAAACAAGCTCAGATTGGTAAGAGCCATGCATGGCAGCAGTGTCTGAAAAAGTCAAACGAATTTTTCCAAACTCAACAACCCAAAGAACGTCTATCCTAACAAAAACAACTTCCATCAAAAACTAGTTCATGTAATGGCTAACCCACCTGAACAGATGCCAACTGGTGCTGTAACTGCAGTTTAACATAGCGAGGAGTGCTCAGATTGTATACGTATAAAGGAAAACCAAAAAACAACTTTGCCAAGACAAGATCTAGCACAGCAGAACCCAAACTTAAGGCTACGATATCACTGCCTACGTTCATCTAAAGGATAACGGATAATTACTGAGGGCAGTAATGTTTGTAATTTGAACAGAGAAGTTAGATTATTTGAGAGAGGAGTGAAGAAATCCACGAAGACCAGAATTAAATAGGAGACGGTCTCAGGTTTAGACTTTTCAGAACAATATCCCAGGGTGTGTGATATTTCCCCTAGGACAAACGAGAATGCAGCCTGTTGAATGTGACATGTAGCCAATCAGAAACCAGAGAGATGGAAACATGGAGGGGGATCCAAAATACAGAAAACAAAAATCTGCCATGGTAAACCAGGAAGTCCGGTGGACGCTGGAGACGTCTTTTTGTTTTGTTTTTGCTAAAAATCATCCCCAAACTATTGCCATTGCTTCTTCCCCGTCGGCCATATTTATTTGCTCTGAAATCACGTTTGATCCTGAGAGGACTCGCAAGATTACCTGTCTGACATCTGAATGTTTGTGAGTGAAATGTATTTTATCTTTCCGTGTGGCTGAGCGTGGGGTCTCTCAGTCTTTGAAAATCAATCAACAATTTTAAAACACTGCCATGTGAACCAGGCATTAATTGAGAAGAGAACCAAAAATTAAATCCAGTAAATAGTTTTTGATTTAACTTGTTAGAATTACGATCTGAACCGGTGCCATCTGAAACAAAGCTTAGATGCACCTGTCTGTGACCTGGACCTCTGTATGGTCCTTACCTGTACCTGTCTGTGACCTGTACCTCTGTATGGTCCTTACCTGTACCTGTCTGTGACCTGTACCTCTGTATGGTCCTTACCTGTACCTGTCTGTGACCTGTACCTGTCTGTGACCTGTACCTCTGTATGGTCCTTACCTGTACCTGTCTGTGACCTGGACCTCTGTATGGTCCTTATCTGTACCTGTCTTTGACCTGGACCTCTGTATGGTCCTTGCCTGTACCTGTCTGTGACCTGGACCTCTGTATGGTCCTTATCTGTACCTGTCTGTGACCTGGGCCTCTGTATGGTCCTTTCCTGTACCTGTCTGCGACCTGGACCTCTATATGGTCCTTTTCTGTACCTGTCTTTGACCTGGACCTCTATATGGTCCTTGCCTGTACCTGTCTATGACCCATAGCTGTGTGTACCTCAGACGATCTGTGATCTTACCTGTTTGTGCTGAACTCTCTGCTTGCTCTCAGGACTGTCCATATTAGAAGCAGACTGCTGCCGTACCCGGGTCCCACCAGCAGCAGGCCAATCGGGTGATGATGTCATCATGTTGCCAGAAGGGGGACGAGGGTAGGGTCCACTCAGCAGATTTGGGGGTGTACGACCTCGAGTGATGCTCTGAGGTGGAGGTTGGTCTATCCTCCGCTGTGGACCGGCACTGTTCTGTCTGGGCACGTTGGGCTGGTGCGGTGTTTCTGTCAGGGACAGCTGCCGGCGGTTAAAGTCCCCCGATCGCCTGGTGTACTCATCGCCACTGCTCCCCCCTCCTCCACCGTGGTTCATGAAGGCTTGTTTTCCGCCGGCTGGTCCGTCCTCATTGTTACTATGGGAACTAACAGAACTGTGGCACTCTGAGCCCGAGTCCGTCATTCCTCGAGGGGACATGGGCAAGCAGGCTGCCATCTGGTAAACCGGGTTCTGGAAGGACAGAGGCGCCAGCAGCTGGGCAGGTCGGCCCGGAGTGCTTTCTGTTCCTGGGGTGGAGGGGGTCTGGCCTGGCTTCCTCAGGGTAGGACCTGCTGGGATGTTTCCCTGCGAGACCCTGGCTGACCAACCTCCACCAGAAGCTTGGCCTTCACCCAGAGCATCTGAGGGGCTGGGACCGGTTCCGCTGTCCTGAGCATGGAGGTCCTGGAGGTCCACCATGGACAAACTCTTGCTGCCATTGGTCATACTCAGGTCAGGCTCGTTTGTCTCAGAGTAGCTGGAACTACGCGCAGGTGACGGCTGGATACCTGAGCTCCTCGTCACAAAGAAGAGGTCCTTATTTTCTGGGGTAGGTGAGGGTAACCGGGTGAAGTCCACCAGCCTGAAAGAAGCAAAACATTCAAATCTCAAAAGTTGGATCAGTTTAATCAGGGGGAATGATGGGTAACCGCAACATTATTTTTGTCTTAAAATTGGCAATTAAAAATAGTTTTTTAAAGATTAATGTCTCGTCTTCTTGGCCTGTCTGTGAGTTTTTAAGGATGACTCTCTCGGCAGGTTTGCTCTGGTTGCATGATCCTTCAGTTTTCTAATAATGAATTTAACTGAGCTTTTTATTTTTTTTTTAAATAACCCAACCCTTATACAGTATTCACTTCAGCAAAACTTTGTGTTTCCGTGAAGTGTTCTCTGCTTTCATGGTGTCTCTGATAATTCGAGGTGTTGATTCTGGGCTCCATCAGATGTCAGCTCACTCTCTCACATGTGGATCTTATTTAATTATGAGGCTTCTAACTGTAAAAGCCAGAGCTTTAAAGCTCCAAGAATATATGTGTACACACCACGTTTTAAATTTATAGCTTATATAAACGTTTAAAACTTTTTTTTTTCTCCATTTACAGCAGTGGTGTCTAAAGTCAGTCCTCAAGGGCTGATGTCCTGCATGTTTTATGTGCTGCTCTGGTTCAACACAGATGAACCTAAAGAATGCTTAATTAGTAGGTCTCCTCAGCAAAGGCCCATTAATCAAGCACTCAGGTTCAGCTGTGTTCAACTGCAGCTCCTAAAGCAGGACATCATCCCTTGAGGACTGACTTTGGACACCACTGATTTACAGTTAATAACCTGAAGCCTTTTGTGTAAAATTATTATTTAGAATAAAACTTAAAATCTACCCTAATTCCATCTTTGTGTATGATTTGTTCTTTGGATTTTCCTTTTCAAAATAAAACAATAAAAAAACAATAATCTTGTGAGGTATTTTAGTTTTGTTTTTCAACTAAATTAGGAAACAACTACGTCAAAACTAAAAAACGCAACATGTTTTTTACTTTTAATTATTTATTATTTTCTTAATGTTTAAAGCTAAGACAAGCTTTATATTTTGTTAGCTCACCATTTGGGACTTTCTGTCAGAATCAGTAATCATGGCCTGAACTCCCCGAGCATTGTTTTCACTTCTCACCATGAATATGTTTGTTTTATTTAGAGGGAGTCAAAGAATCTAATCGACATCTAAAGATCTTACTGTGAACAAAACTGCTTTAACATTCCAATTTATGCAGAACAGGGTTCATGTGCAGCCATTGCCAATATTTTTAGAAATGTTTACATTTTTAAGCAGTCTTCCTTTCACTATTAACTCTTCTTTATTGGCGATTTCTGGTATGGCTGCATTTTAAAACAACATTTTTTGGGGGGATTTAGACAGATGAAGCAAAAATCAAACACTGTGGATATTTAATTAGTTCAATAATACGTTTAGGTTTTAAAAGGATCCATGATTAGTTGTAGCATTAAACTTTATTTGAAAAACATTTATTTTAACTATAAAATAAAGACTAAAAATACTGTAGGATGTTTAGTTTTGTAAATTTAAAAATATATATTTTAACCCAGACGGAGCCATTTTATTTACAAGCAAAGCATTCTGGGTAAATGATGACATCAACAAGGTCATCGGCACAAGGCTGCTAGCGAGCTATATCCACCCTGAAGGTTAATCTTGGACAATATCTGATGATCGACTCTTTTAAATGAAACCAGAGAGCGTTGACAGAGAGGAGAAGGTAGAAATGACTCAGTGGCTGTGTCTCAATTCAGGGTCTGGGTCCTCATGAGTGTGCATTTGTCGGCCGCATACGTCATTGCCCCGTGCGGAGGACCGTCC